TTCAAACTTTAACCGCCCTACCCTCACTGAACTTTCGATCTTTGTCCCCTGGGGTATAAAAGCACTTCTTCCCATCGCCGGGATGGCCACTACAAATTTTCTACTGCGGCTTCTACACAACTACTATTCCTATTCTGGAGAGCTCCGGCTCCCCAGAGCCTCACCTACTTTTTATACCCCAGGGGACAAAGATTTTTTTTTTTGTAAAATAAACATGTATATAGGGCGCGACGTGTTATACACATACACATACACACACACACCATACAAACGGTACACACACTAGTCCAATAATCTACTATTAGGTATGCCAAAATATCAACTTCACTATTGGCTTGTTTCTAATCCCGACATCGTCACCAGCGTGTGGTTGCTATTGGCATTTGCTATCATTCGGGCTACTTCTCAATTGCCTTCGCATGTCGAAGACAGTGAATAGTGAGGGGGCTTTGTCTCGCTTCCAAGAGTGGCTGCTAGTGTGTATGCAGTATCCAGATTCTATTCTTTCACAATACACTTTGGAAAGCCGAGGCATCCCATTTGCGTTTTGGAGTGGTAATAGTTTGCCAACAACAACAACAACCATCGGCTAACTTGAGAACAAGCCGGAAACAGTCGAAAAGTTGCTAAATTTCCTAGTGCGCAATCGAAACAACTCACTGAATTCTAGACGGGCTGCTTTTTCATACGAAATTCGAATCTATTTGGAGCAGCGTCGGAGTCGCAGTTTCTTGAAAAGCACGCCTCTCACCCTACTTTACAAAGTTCTTCGTGATCGTTTATTTACTCTTCTGCTCTGCATTCACGAACTTTTGAGCACAGTTGATGTATTACCGAAGTACACCAACGGCTGACTGACTCATAAGGTCAAAAATCGGCTAGTTACTGTTCCCACAGTTCATAATTGTTGATATTATCAGAGGCTTTTTCTTTCGGGGGTTGCTTAAAATCAAGCTGATGGCGATCCTGCGATCTTCTTAAGGTGGTCGTTAACCACTGGTGGATTGACACCTAGGGTATTTATTGTATTTGTTTTGTTTACTCTGAATATTTATTTTATGACGAAAACCGGTTTCTTTCGGAACTGCCATAAATATTGCGCGCTACAGTTATAAATTTGAATCGGGGGCGAATGTCTGAAATATCGCGGGACTGTGTTGCGATTACCGCGATAGTCGTTATGCATTATCCATGGTACTATTTCATGTCCGTCATAGTTTCCAGGATATCAATAATCTGGAAAAGAAGGAGATACGGTGCATCGGGACTTACAAAAGTACATTCACTCGAAGATGATTTTCACAGTTCCATGGACGTGATCTTAAGAATAAATAGCAGCGGCAGTAGTAGCAGTAGTAGTGGTTCGCCGTGCGAAGTATGGGCGAAATGGATGATATAACACAGGAAGGTAGTGGAAAAAGTGCTGATAACGATGACCAAATGAATGATTTTGTCAATTCTGCGCGTACCGGACGCCGGAATGCTGTTCCGGAGGTGGACACACAAGGCATGGATCCGGACGCTGTGAAACTTGCCGAACGCCTATCGTCCATGAACACTGCTAGCAACGATGAATGCCGCCGGAAGGACCAGAGCGCTGACGATTCCAGTACGGTTTCAGCAAGTGAGAGCATTGTTGTAATTTTTGGAGCACAGTGGCGGTTTTGGTAAAATACCAGAGTGTCGAAGGTGGGGAGCTTGGATTCGGGAAAGGGGGAGGGGAAAAAATAAGAGAAGGCAAGAATGGGCCAGGCTCCCAGTTCCTCAAAAACGCATGATTTTCGTTTTTTGTTTCAATTCATTAGTAGTGTCTTGAAATCTTTTTTCATTATCCTTTTTGCCCTGTATACCGGAAATACCTGGATCTCCATTTATGCAGCTGACAACTTTTCCACTGCCTACGATTTTGTGCCTTTCGCATCCACGCTAAGTCATAGACAAAAGTTATTAGTCATCTCTACCGTGTCAGCCTTCTTGTTACTACTTTAATATATCATGAGTACCACTTAACCGTCCCTTTTGTCCATCTGTTATCAGTTATCCTTCTGACATGACCAGTGTCCAGCTTCTCGCTTTTCCTGACATAAATTCCCTCGAGAAATTTTTTTATATCAGAACGTGAAAGACACACGTTGTTTTTTATTATATAATGCAGCCAGCTGATACCTGAAATCTTGCACTCAATTGACCGATTGTATCACTGGTTTTGCATCCGTAAAGTAGCTAGTTGATTTTCTGCTACGAACTCTAAGTTTAGCACCACCAGCACTGATGTTCAGCTCGTTTAGCTGAACTTGCATTGTTTGTGAGTTTTGCATAGCCGGGCATCGTTTTATCCGCAAGAAGGATTATCCAAAATCCTTTGTTATCCACTCGGCATTCCTTAATATATGTCCTTTTTCGAGAAACAGTTTCTTAAAGTATTATTCGTCATAATTAACATGATTATTTCAAAGAGTCGAGGAGTGTAGATCCGATGTTATTTGCGTTAGTGAGATGTGCTCAACATTAATCTTATGTATTATTCAGTATCGGTTAAAAAGTATTTTTATTCCCACTAAAACAGCTGTGCTTAAAAAGGCTGCCGGTGCGGCGATACGCTTCCACGTGATTTCTTATAGTGGAAAGATCGTTAACAGTATGAATAGTTACTATGTAGTTTGATATGTGCACTTATTTTGTAAACATTCTTGTTGGTTTTTATGCGTTTTTTGCAGCCATGCAATGCAGGAAACGCATATTGACGAGGTTGTTTGTGTGTGTGTGTGTGTGT